ACACCATTCTCCCGCCTCAGCCTCTGGAGTAGCTGGGACTACAGGCGCCCACCACCACACCTGGCTAATTTTTTTTTTTGTATTTTTAGTAGAGACAGGGTTTCACCTTGTTAGCCAGGAAGGTTTCGATCTCCTGACCTCGTGATCTGCCCGCCTCGGCCTCTCAAAGTGCTGGGATTATAGGCGTGAGCCACGGCGCCCGGCCTTGAACACATCTTTATCTGAAATCTTTCATCTTAAAACATCAATAAAGCAGCAAGCCACCCCAGAGATGACTGGTGGAGAAACTAAAACACAGGGCCCAATTTGCTCCTCCTGGGCCGTGAGGCAGGCCAGTCACCCCCGCAGCACAGCGGGGCAGTGCCATAGTCACGTCTGCCATGATCTTGACCCACAGCTGCACCACCTCCAGTCCCAGCCCCACACGGCCTGTCCCGGGTGGGACATGCCGAGTATGAGAGGCTCCAGTTAGGTCCCTCTGCCTGGTTCCAGCCAGGACAGGCTCTGCCTCTGGCCAGTTTGAAAGAGCAGGCTCTCTCCGCCACTGGGCCAGAAGGTACTTGGGGTGATTTGGCGGTAGTGGACTGGAAGTCTGGGCACAGACTGGGAATAAGAGAGAAAGGGGCCTGTTTGCTTCATCGGAGAGGATATAAAGTAAATGAAGCTGGACATGTAAGTAGAGCCGGATCTTGAGTCTGAGGTGTTAAGAATTTACCCTGAGGCCAAGGGAGAAGCCATAGAAGGTTCGTGGGAGGGGGAGGACATGAGACATCCAACAGGTCTGAGCTCCTCTCATAGCAGTAGGCTTTGGTCTGAGTCAGGATGAGTCTAGGACTTGCTCCCCAAGGGACCATGGGGACTGGGAGGAGCAGGGGAGCAAGGAGAAGGTCCAAGCTGAGGGGAATGGCGAAAAGATGTGAAGGAGACGCTCTCTGATCACGACGCACTCAGAGGTACCTATTTCACATTGCCAATATGCCAGCCACTGTGCACTTATCCATAATGGAGATGTTATCATTATGAGGAAACTGAGGTTCAGAGAAGTTAAGAGACTTGCATGAGGTCACACAGTGAGAAAGTGGCCTGGTTGAGAGCCCACACCCTTAACCCCATATTCCACCGCCAGATGGGACTCCCCAGACCCCATGGGGAGGTGGCTCAGTGAGGCCTCTCCCACTTGCACCTTATCTGACTCCAGGTCCCACCCTGAGACAGGCTGGTTCTAGGTGGAAGTGAGACGGGAGCCCCTGGGACCATGCCAGGCTGGGACAGCCACCATCTGAGGTGGCCCCGGGTCCTTTCCCCTAGCTATGGAGACCAGGTACAGCACTTCAAGGTGCTGCGCGAGGCCTCAGGGAAGTACTTCCTGTGGGAGGAGAAGTTCAACTCCCTCAACGAGCTGGTCGACTTCTACCGCACCACCACCATCGCCAAGAAGCGGCAGATCTTCCTGCGCGACGAGGATCCCTTGCTCAAGGTAGGGGCAGGTGGGGGCTGGCCTGTGGGAGCCTCTCTGCATCTCCTGCCATCTACAGCGGGGGAAATGCTGACACCGAGGCCAAGCACGGGCCTGGTCTCCCTTCCCCAGCAGCCTGGTGTTGTAAGAGGGGTCCAGCCCAGGCTTCAAAGTTATATACTGGTGGCGGCTGTGGTGAGACTTGCAAGGGTGGGAAAGGAGAAGAGGGAAAGAAAAGCAAGGGACAGAAGGAAAATCCCATAGGGACAAACTGTCTAGCTTGTTCTCAGCTCCTAGAATAGTGTGTGGCACACAGTAGGTGCTCAATAAATGTTCATTGAGTTCAGGAAGGTAGAGACCTCCGCTGAGTGTACTGTATACCATGCACTGAACTGGTCTCTATACTCTGGGAGCCTCATCGTGCCCGTTATATAGACGAGGAAACCAAGGCTCAGCAAGTGCAGTGACACATCCAAGGACACTTACCCAGTAGGCTCAGTCCTGGTTTCTGCTCACGGAAGAGTTGACCTTGGGTGTGGGGCAGCGTGAGTGCTTGTGGGCGAGGTCCTGGCTAGCCACAGGGTAGGGGGTGGGGGTCGTCCACCCCTTGACCTCGCAATAACAGCAATTTGCCAGCCAGCCCTTTCATCAGGCGGCCCCAAGGGCCAGCTCTGAAGCTGATTAGGATGCCGACAGCAGCCACTGGGGTTATCAGCCCCAACAGGCTGTTTTCTTCAGGAGCGGGGATGCTGACCAGGCCTGGGGCTGGAGGTCAAGACCCTGGGACACTTGAACTTGGGCTCTGCAGAGGAGATGGGGAGTGTGGCCAAGGCCTGGGGAGAGGCTGATAACCGCTTCAGAGAAGCTCCAGCCATGTCTTGTTCCCAGCACCCGCCCCCTGCCATCTTTCCGTGTGATCAGAGGCCAGTTCATCCCCTCAGTGTCCCCTCTGTTCAACAGGATGAGCCCTGGGGTCTGATATGCCAGGAGAGTCGAACAATGCCTTGAGAGACCCCCACTAGTTTCTCCTCTGTTGGCCTTCCCTGCTTGACCGAGTGCCCAGGTCACTGTGAGCAACTAAGCCTCAGGGGACTTTTCTCTCCAGCTGGGCCCCTGCCTGCCAGATCTCCATCCTCCTCCCTGTTCACCGCCTGGACCAGCTCTGCCCTGGGAGAGTGTGAGGAAGCCAGGATGGAGCTGGGGCAGGGGCAACTGAGAGTTCCCCTACACCCACCACCTCGCTCTGGCCCGGGCCATGGGGTCACCCACCCTGTGGCTCGACTCCAGAGCTGCCTCCGGCCCGTGGGCCCCATGACGCCTCCTCCTTCCTGGGCAGACAGTTGCTAATTACAGCTTCTCTGCTGATCCTATCACCCGCCCTGGATGAGATTCTGCAGGTTCAGAGCTGAGATCCTGGTGGGCAGGCAGGGCCAGGGTGCTGGGTGCAATAGTCACAGTGCCGGGCAGACGTGCTGCAGAGAGCTCCTGTCCAGCTGCCACGCACAGGTGGGGAAACTGAGTTCCACAAAGGGCAGGGACCTACCCAGCATCACACATGGGGCATGGATAGGACTGGAACCCAGGCCTCAGAGCTCAAAGTGACAATTCTCTCCCTCAATGGCTGACCAAGGGCAAAAGCAGTAAACATGGCTCTTAGCTGCGTATCACTTTACAGTTTATAAGGCCCATTCTCATGGCTTTGTGACCTGGAGTCAGAAGCTACCATGGCTACTGCAGAGTCAGGGAAGTAAGATCCCAAGAAAAGCAGGGACCTAACCAAAATCCCACCCTAAGGACCAGGACTCAGGTCCCCTGGCCCACCAGCCCTATGATCCCAGCTGGGCAGCTGGGAAAGCCATGTTCTAGGTAGATGCAGCATCTGCACAGCAGACAGACAGGGGTGTGGGCAGCAGGAGGCCCATGGTGGCACCACCACTGATCTAGACTTAAAGTTCAACTCCAGTGCTGCCCCAGACCCCTCCTCACCTGTGGCAAATCACTTCTCTTGGGTGCCTCTGAGGGAGGGTGGGTTGCAGGGCTTCTGAAGGCGCCCTACTAACCACCTTCTCCTCTCGCAGTCACCTGGGGCGTGCTTTGCCCAGGCCCAGTTTGACTTCTCAGCCCAGGACCCCTCGCAGCTCAGCTTCCGCCGTGGCGACATCATCGAGGTCCTGGAGCGCCCAGACCCCCACTGGTGGCGAGGCCGGTCCTGTGGGCGTGTTGGCTTCTTTCCACGGAGTTACGTGCAGCCCGTGCACCTGTGAGCAGCGCGGCGGCCGATCTGGCCAACGGGCCATTTTACAGGAACTGAGGTCCAGAGAGGACATGGACACCCCCAGCCCGGTCAGAGTCACACGGGGCTCAGTGGATGGCCTTGGACTGAATGTGGGCTCCTAACTGCCTCCAGCCACTTTGCACAAATTGGGATGGCCCAGGTTCCCCAGCAAGGGTACCCTGTAAGGGTAGCTCTGGGGCTTCCTGGCTGGTTGCTTCCCATTGGCTGCCAGCTGTGTGACATGACAGGGCGGAGTCTGTGGAGGCCCCACCCACCTCCTCTGGTCAACGGCTCCATTTGCCAGGAAGGTTGAGGACTCCCAGGTTTCACCCACTGGAGGCTCAACCTGAGGAACCCTGGCCATGGTGGGTGGGTTCACCTTGGGCTGACCACCTACTGGGCCTGCCTGCCCCTCCCTCAAAAGGCCCCTCGAGTTGTACGGGCTGTTGGGAGGTGGCTCAACCTGGAAGGACAGACTGCACACCTGTTGACCTAAACTCACTGGACAGACTCCAGGTGGACACTGCTCCTCAACAGCCCCATGACTTCAACTCAACCTGGGGCACCCAGCACCCGCGCCCCACCACAGGACTAGAGGCCCTGAGACCCTGAAAAAGGGACTGGCAGTAGGGAAGGTGGAGGCACACTCCTCTCCCGTTGGACAGATGAGCTCTGAGGGCAAGCCCTGGGCCCAGCCACACAGAGACCCTGGCTGCCCTGGCTCTTGTTTGTTTAGGCCCGGGTTCTGCCCAGACCAGGGCCCAGGAGAGCTCTCAGGAGGCTGAGAAACCTCCAGGCCAAACAGAAAGTTGGTGCCAGAGCTGGGTTTTAGAGATCCTACAGGATCCCAATGGGACAGCTACCTAGGTAGGGCATGGCCCCTACCTGAGAACAGGAGGGTCCTCCAGAGAATGTGCCACCATCAGGGATATGAGCAGGGCCTGCCCAGAGCCTGGGCACCTTTGGGAGCGGGAAAAGTGAGGTGGGACTTGGAAAGGCTTTGAATGCCAGGCTGATGGTTGAGGGGATGGTGGGCAGGGAGGGAGGGCAAGGAGGCTCCCTCTGGCATTTGGGAGCAGGTGGGTGGAGGGAGGAGCCCCTGGAGGTGGCTACAGTCCCTTAATGGGAGGCCTTGTTCTGGGCATGTGGGGCTCTCCCTTTATCCAGAGATGGCCCAAGACCCTAGAGCCCTGAGTGCTGGCAAATCTCACTGCTCCTGACCTGGCCTGTGTATTCAGAACAAAGACAGTAAAACCAACATCAGGATGTCCATCAGAAATCTAATTTTCTTTCCAATGATGACTGCTTTGGTGCTGTTTTTGAAATGTCACATGTTTTTCTCCCATTTCCCCCCTAAGTTTTCAGGGCTCCCGCCTTGCTGGCTTGGCCAGTTCTTGGGCACCGAGCTGCTGTGCAGCCGTGAGGGGAATCTGCCCCTCTTGGGGCCTCGGGATCCCCATGAGGGAAAAGGGTGGACCTGAGGACTCGGAGCTCCTGCCTTCCTGCCCAGAGCGGCAGTGTCAGGCGAAGTAGGCGTACAAGAAGATGTTGACACACATGAGGAGGATGGCATTGAAGCCACAGACACGGGCCCAGAAAGCGTGTTTCTGGGGCGTTTGGCCATCACCTGGAGGGGATTGCAGAAGGAGAGGGACAGATGTGGGACACAAGGCTACACCTGGTGCCCTTGCCTCCAGCCCAGGGTCAAGGTGGAGGAGTGTCTAAGGTCACCCACTTACCTGCTTTGGTTCCCAAGGGCAGATCCCGAGCCAGGGTCCACCAGGTAAGGTTCTCAATCTGTAAGAAACCAGTGGGGATAGGGATGGGGGTGAGGCTGGCAGGGTAGGGGTGACCCAGACAGGATCAAAGGTTGGGGATGGCAAGATGGCAGCTGAGTTCAAAAAGGGATGGGGTTAGGGAGTCCAGGGCTAGAAAATTCTGAGTCAGAGTGGGTCGGGGATCAGAATAGGACCACAGTAAGAAATTGTTAGGGGTCAGGGTCAGGGGCCAGGGCTGGCTCACCTGGACACCCTGTGGGGGTGGGGTCAGCAGGCTTCCAGCCACCACAACAGCACCACTGAGTATGAAGAGGGCAACAGCGAAGTGCAGGTAGTGGATGCTTCCCAGGACGGCCGGCCGCGTGTCTGGCTCTCCGCAGGGCGGGGCTGGGTTCAGGAATTCCAGGACCAGCCTCGTGGCCCCCACCACCAGCCCTGCTATCAGGCCCCAGAAGGCCCCCTGGGGAGGAGGGAGACAGGGCATGTGGGGCTATGGGAGGAGAACCAAGGTTCCCCCCACAGGCAGCAGGGAAGAGCAAACTGTGGCACGTCCCTAGGGAGAGCAGACCACCAAGTCCTGTCCCCCGACACCCACCTGCTCGTTGGCACGTCGCCAGAAGATGCCCAGGACAAAGACTGCAGTCACTGGTGGGGCCAGGGAGCTGGTCACTGACTGCATGTATATGAAGAGTTGCCCGCTGTTGGAGCCCTGCAGGACAGGGATCCAGGCCACACTCACGCCAATGAGCGCCACTATGACCAGCCTGTGGGCAGGTGGAAGGCAGGCAGCGGTCGTCCTGGGAGGTTCTTCCTCAGCCTTCTCCCACCTCCCCTGGTCACTAAGACTTGCTCTCTAATCGTTCCCCTGCTATCCCAGCTCCAGCCCCTCCCTGGCCTCTGGTCCATGCCACTGGTGACCTGGCCAGTCCTGCCCTGCTCCAAACCCTTTGGCAGCTCCCTGGCTCCTGCAGGTGCAGCTCCTGACTCTAAGTGCTGTCTGCTCCTTCCCTGCCCTGGGTTCTCTGTGGAGCCAGCCCTTGGAGCTCTGCCATGGCCACCCAGCCTCTCCCTCTTGTCTCTCCTTCAAAGCACCTGTCCCAACCACTACACGCACATTTACCTGGGTGTCTACTTGTTTACTGCCTGTCTTTCCCCTCCCGACTGGAAGCACTAGGAGAGCAGGAGCCTCATCCCTTTAGTTCATTGCTGTGTCTTCCAGCGTATAGTGGGTGCTCACTAAGCATTTGGTGAGTGCATGAATGACCACTGCCCCCACATCCGGGCCAGACTGACTGCCTGGTGGTTCTTTGAAGACACTAGGCTTTTTCACACTGGCCGGCCTTTGCGGGAGCTGGGACCTCTGGCTGGCACATCCCCACCGCTACAGGCCTGTGCTGCACATCCTTCACAGGGCAACCTCCCTACTAAGGATGCAAGGTTTGGAGCCAGAGGTGTGGGTTGGGGTTAGAGCCTATACTCCCCAGCTGTGAAGCTGGAGCCCTGCTGGGCCAGCATAAGCCCGTCCCCTCCTGTCCCCTGCGTGTCAGCTCCTGCCCACCTCTCCCCTAGGCCAAGAGCACCTCCACAGCAGGCACATGCTTCATTTGTTCATCCAACGAGCCCCTGGCGAGGTGCCCACCTGGGTAGGACACTACCCTAGGATCCCCAGCTGGGCGATGAGTGGGACCTGGTGCCTGCCCAGCACTCAAGAGTCCAGCAAAGAAAACAGATGAGCCTGTTACCTACCTACACTCCAGAGGCTGGGCTGGAGCAGCACAGAAACATCAGCTCTGGAGGCTTCGGGAGAGGCCCCTAAAACCTTGAGCGATGAGTGGGACCTGGGCGATGAGTGGGACCTGGGTGCCAGCTCCAGAGTCCAGCAAAGAAAACAGATGAGCCTGTTACCTACCTACACTCAGGGCTGGGCTGGAGCAGCACAGGGGAAACATCAATCTAGGAGGGCTTCCAGGAGGAGGCCCCCCCAAGAGCCTTGAGCGATGAGTGGGACCTGGGCAATGAGTGGGACCTGGTGCCTGCCCAGCACTCAAGAGTCCAGCAAAGAAAACAGATAGGCCTGTTGCCTACCTAAACAGGGCTGGGCTGGAGCAGCACAGGAAACATCAATTCAATCTAGGAGGGCTTCCAGGAGGAGGCCCCCCCAAGAGCCTTGAGGGGCATGGGACCCAGCTAAGGGGACAAAGCTGGAGCAAGGCATCCATCTGCTCCTTCCTGGCTGAGCACCTCACCCCTGTGTCCTGGGTCAGTTGTCATTCCTCACCCCCAAGGTGGGTGCTGGGTGACCCGCTGGAACCCTGGCTGTGGTGGCAGGGATGACAGAGGCTGTGTTCAGCTAGGGTGGGTCCTCTCTGTGCCTGTTCGTCTTCCTCCCTCCCTTTCTTCCCTTCTAGGCCTGAGGGAGAGGGTGGAAGAAGGAGGTGCCACCTTGATTAAGGCTAATTAACCCCTAGCCAGGCAGGCAGGCGGGCGCTGCCCTCATCAAAGGCCGAGGGGGACCTCCATTAACGCCTGCCCACCCCGCCCTCTGCACACAGCACTCCCGCCCAACACCAGACTCTGCATCTCTGTGTCAGGACCCGGGCCACTCCAGCCAGGCCCTCGCCTTCTCATGCAGCCTTCTTACCTAGTCTGCCAGAGGACCCCCAAACCCAGAGGCTGTTCCTTCTGCCTGCAATGCTACCCCTCCCATGCCACCATCAGGGTGGACAGTGCCCTCCAGCATCTCTCTGGGCTGCAGCCACAGTTACCGTGGAACCTCTCAAGGAGGGGTGTCTGAGATCTCTCTGAGTCCTGTACAGGGTTTCCGGGAGGCCGTGGGCCCCATTTGTGGACTGAACAGCCGGGAACACAGACAGGGGAGAGTGGGGAGGGCAGTGGCAGAACGTTGGACTGGGGCGTGGGGGCTTGGGGCAGGCAAATAGCCGGGGAGTGGTCATCGTTGTTCCCCAGCCTGTGACGGCTCCTCCAGCCTCTGCTTAGCTGGACGGAGCCATCAGGGTACCGGCATGGTCCTGCACCTGGCCCTGCAATGGCCTCCTCTCCAGGCCTCTGGACTGTTGGTCTTCTCTCTGGAAGCCTTGCCTCTCCCTGACGGAGGCTCTTGTCAGGCCATTCACCCTACCAGAGATCCATGACCCACGGGGGCCTAGGAGATACCGCTCCAATGGTAGTGGTTAGGGCAGGAGGAGGCTGAGACGACTTTGAGGGGCTGGGGGTGTTGAGGGCATCCCAGTGCTGTAAGAGGGAGGGGAAGTCGAACTGGCCAGCCTGACACCTGGCACGGGGCCCCTTCTGCTCTAACCAGCTGGCAGCTGAGAGAACTGGGGCCCAGAGAGGGTGAGCAACCTGCCCTGCACCACACAGCCTTGTGCCCTGCTCCTCAGGGAGGCTGAACTCCAGGCTTGCAGGGCTGGGGGCGGGGGGTTACTTGGCAGAAGAGGTGGGAAGGAGAGTCAAGGGCATGGGCAGCTATATGGGTGGGTGAGCTGGCACAGCAGGAGGCCAGGTCAGGACTTTGGTTGCAGGTGGGAGTCCGGGTGAGGAGACCAGGAAGTAGTGGGCAGGGGACATGAGGGCCACTGGGCAGGTAGAGGGGCTACCAGTGTCACACACTGGGTGGCAGAAGGGCATCCAGGTCCCAGGGCCCAGGATGCTGGAGCATGGAGGGGCTTAGAGCAAGGTCTGGCCGCAGAGGAGACGCAAGGTCAGAGAGTGCAGGGTCTTCCCCAGGCCACACAGCTTCTGAGGAGAGGCAGGGGAGCCAGAGCGGGAGAGGTGGTCAAGGGGCCAAGTGCCCAGGACACAGGGACATGGAAGTGTCCTGCCCAGTGAGAGGCGGGAGGCTCCTTGTTTTGGAGGATCCTGTGAGCCTGTGGATGAGCTCACTCGCACCCGCCTCTGACATGTCCCAACAGGGCCCTTCCGACAGAAGTCTGACTGTTTTGCATCCCCAGGACGGCTGCCTGGAGCTCTGAAGGAGACCCCACCCCCAGGATGGGTGCCCTGGGCTCCTGACCAGGGGGTTCACTGTTGGCCAAGCTAAGTGCCAGAAGGCTGGAACCCTGACCAGCAGAGTGTGGGCCACACTGCTCAGAGGACAACAGGAGGGAGGGACTGGAGGGGCAGGGAGGGTGCAAATAGACAGACACGTGCACATGGGAGCTAACCTCTGAGGATGTAAAGGCATAAGAATGATAGAATGGGCTGGGCACACTGGCTCATACCTGTAATCCCAGCCCACTGAGGTAGGTGAATAACGTGAGGTCAGGAGTTCGAGACCAGCCTGGCCAACATGGTGAAACCCCGTCTCTACTAAAAATACAAAAAGTAGCCGGGCATGGTGGTGGGAGCCTGTAATCCCAGCTACTCAAGAGGCTGAGGCACGAGAATCTCTTGAACCCGGGAGGTGGAGGTTGCAGGGAGCCAAGATCGCACCACTGCATTCCAGCCTGGGTGACAGAACGAGACTCTGTCTCAAAAAAAAAAAAAGGAATGATACAATGTACTTTGAGGACTCAGGGGAAAGGCTGGGAGGGTGTGAGGGATAAAAGACTACACATTAGGTACAGTGTACACTACTCAGGTGATGGGTACACCAAAATCAAAATCTCAGAAATCACCACTAAAGAAGTTATTCATGTAACCAAACACCACCTGTTCCCCAGACACAGCCCTGGTCCGCATGAAGAGCCCAGATATGTAGAGAAGGGTGTCGAGGAGGTCTCTTGGCCTATAATGGCCACATGTGCTGTGGGAAGAATCTGGCAAGAGTTCCTGGGGTATGAAGGGGAGAGGGGCTTATTCCTTGGTTGAGGGTCTCAAGGAGGACTGCATGGAGGAGGGGACACAGGTAGAGTGTAGAAAGATCAGCGTGAGTCATCAAGGTGTAAAAGGAGGGGACAAGCTGGGCTGGGAGGAAACAAGCCGGAGCTCAGTGGGGCTAAGGCCATGGAGGCTGAGGGATGTGGCAGGTCAAGTGTGGCCAGTCCTGAGTGCTAGCACGGGGGCCCTCTGTGGGGCAGCTGGGAACCATCAGGAGGAATGGGGGCCCAGGTTTTGGGGGAGATAGATCTGTAGCATGGCTGGGGAGGGAGGGCTGCCCCTGCAGAGGGAATCCAGCTCAGGGGTGGAGACGCATCCCAGATGAGGGCTGCGATCACACAGAGGTGGACAGGAGAGCAATGTGAGAGGTGGTATGGACGGGGTACACTGGGCCCTTCTCTTCACTCCTCCCTGGCATCCACCTTTCTCTAAGTGGCAAACTCCCGCTCATCCCTCAAAGTCAGTGCCGGCGCCCACCCCCGTATTGTTCCCCCACCCCCATACCGTCCCACCAGCAGCAGCTCTCGCTCGCCGGAGCGGGGCCGCAGCCGCCTCCAGATGTCCATAGTGAAGAGGGTGCTGCTGCTGTTGAAGATGGAGGTCATCGACGACATAAGCGCGGCCAGCATCACTGCGATCATCAGCCCCCGAAGACCTGGGGTGGGACGGGGGATGCGTGACCCTGTCCGATGACAGCCCCGGGAGCCCCTCCAGCCTGGGGTCTACTGCCTGAGGCCTGCCTGCCATTCCCATGCCCCTCCAGGCGGAGGGCCAGGAGGGAGAGAAGCTGAAGAGGTTTGAGGTGAGCAAGACCCAAAATGAGGAGACTGGGGAGGCCAAGGACAAACCGTGGGGACTTCGGAGCTGGCTGCTTGAGCCCTAGGCTTGCTGGCAACCCTAGGCCCGACCGTAATTACTAATAATGCTGAGGCCGCGATCAGACCTCTCCTTTCTGCAGAGCCTGGCGTTGACAAAGCACTTTCACACCCATGCCTCCGTCTGAGGAAAGCGTGATTAACCCGCCTGACAGATGAGGAAATGGAAGCTCAGAGAAGGGAAGAGATTGCCCAGGGACTCACAGCAGGCCAGAGGCAGAACTTTGGGGTGCGGTGGGGTTGGTGAGGAAGGCTTGGGCGGGGCCTTTGCTTGAAGGTCACACCCTGGGCAAGATGCACACCTCACCCCAGCATGCAGTGCCCCAGTATCTGGAATTTTCCACCACTTCCTGTGCATGGCAGGACCCAGCAGGCATAGTGGATCCCCTCTCTCCTTGGCTCTGTGGTTTTCCAGAGTGGGAGTGAGGGCTCCCCTAGGAGGTGCGGGTAGCATTGCTGTGAAAGGCCTTCTGGGAGTTGTAGGCTCAAGAGGGCCTGGGGGTGAGGAACCCTAAAGAAGGTGGAAGGATGCTGAACTGCCCGCTCTCTGCTGTGTGGCTTCAGGCTGGTCACCTCCCCTCTCTGGGGACAAGTTCAAGTCTGTCTACAAGGACTCCTACAATTCTAAGCAACTCCTTTACCTCTACAAACTTTTGCCCGTCTATCCTAGGATAAGCCTGGCATTGGCCTCCCTGTCCCGAAGGCACAGCCATTTATTGCCTGGCTGGGTTGTCTGGCCTTGGTTCTGCGTCTGATTGGCTGTGTGACTTCCAGGAGTCTCTGGGCTCTCTGTTCACTTGTCAGAAGCTGACTAGGATGCAGCCCAAAGGAAAATGAGTCAAATCACAGTTTTCCCCAAAACATTTCTCCACCCGCCCCCTTGTCTTGCTCATGGAGATGGATGAACTTGGACCTTATTCCATCCATTTCTTAGAGAGGGAACTCAGGGCCTAGAGAGGGATTGTGGCCCAACAATGGCTCAGTGTCAGCCCCGGGGGACTTAGCAAGTCCCTTTGCCCAGAACAGAAGAGAAAAGCGAAGCCCTTAGGTGGGAACCACAGCGTGGCCAAGCCTGCATTTTCCCAATGTCATTATGTTTAATCCCAGCAACAACGCTGAGGGCTGGGTAGATTCCATTATCTCCAATTTACAAATGAGGACACCCAGGCTCCAAGCAGGGAAGTGACATGCCCCAAATTTCTTGGCCAGCTAGTGGCAGAGCCAAGATCTGATCCTAGGTTTGTGTACTCACTTCCATTAGGCCTGAGCTCTGCAGGAGGGAGGGAGGGAGGGAGGGAGGGAGGGAGGGAGGGAAGGAGAGGAGGAAGGAGCAGGGTGGGGCTCACCCGAGGGACTGAAAGCTTCCAGGAAGAGGGGATTAAAGGGAGGGGGTCAGAGGGAGGGGGACCAGGGAAAGCTCCAGCACCTGAGAATCTGTACAGGAAAAGCTTGGGCTGCCAAGGGCTCAGGAAACTGTTTCTGCTTTTTGCTTAGGGTTGAACCTCCCACACCCCTTGCCATGTTGCTTCCTCCACCTTGCATACCTCCTGTGATGGGGAACTTGCATACCTCCTGTGATGGGGAACTCATCACCCCACATTAGAATAGCAGGAATGCTGCTACCACGAGAAACATGGAAAAAGCCAAAACCTGCCCACTAGTTCTACCTGTGGGCTTGCAGTGTCTCAGGGCGGGGCAGTGCAGAGGATAGGCACTCATGCCTGCAGATGTAGTGGGGGGTCCTGAGCTCCTGATCCCAGCAGAGTAAGCAGTTTGTGTCTTGGGTTTGTGTCTCAGTCACTGTATAACCTCAGACAAGTCACTTTCCCCTCTGTGTGCCTCAGTTTCCCCATCTGTAAAATGGAGCCAATAACCCTATCTCATAGCATTTAATGAGAAACTGTTAGTAAAGGGCCTGGCACCCAGTAGGCATGCAAGAGGAGATAGTGGGTGGCCTTTCTCAAGAGATGGTACAGCACGAGATAGGAGGCAAGGTGTGCAGGCAGATGCATCGGGTCAGCTTTGCAGCTTACTTGCCATGTGACCTGGGCCAGGTCACTTAACCTCTCTGGGTCTCAGTTTCCCTGTCTTTAAAATGGGGATGATATAGGCCAGATGCGGTGGCTCACGCCTGTAATCCCAGCACTTTGGGAGGCCGAGGCGGGTGGATCACCAGAGGTCTGGAGTTTGAGATCAACCTGGTCAACATGGTGAAACCCTGTCTCTACTAAAAACACAAAAATTAGCCAGATGTGGTGGCACACGCCTTTAATTCCAGCTATTTGGGAGGCTGAGGCAGGAGAATAGCTTGAACCCGGGAGGCGGAGGTTGCGGTGAGCCAAGATCACACCATCGCATTCTAGCCTGGGCAACAAGAGCAAAACTCCATCTCAAAAAAAAAAAAAAAAAAAATTGGGATGATACTAATAGCACTAGGGGTTCCCGAGAAGGGGAGGCCAGTGTATCACTTGGGAAGCCCTGGGGATGGTGGTGGCATGCAGTGGGTGTTCGAGTGCTTTCTATTGTGAGTGCTTCTGTTCCCTTCTCCTAGGAGCAGAACAGCCCACCTGGATGTCACCCAGCATCACACTGGATCCACAGTGGCCTCCACAGTCCCCACACTCATTGGGCCCCAGGTCACACCCCATGCCCTCCACCCGGACCTCCACCCACACAGCCTCACCGATGGGCATCAGTTCCATGACCAGCTTGGGGTAGGCGATGTTGGAGCAGCCGACCTCGGCCCCGCAGGCCCGCAGGCACTCGGATGGCACCACGCAGCCCACGTCATCTGTTTGAGAAAGGGACACTTGGTGTCTCTCCCCATAGACATGGGCACCTGGGGTGGGCAAGACAGGGCTGGGGGCAGAAGCCTGGCCCAGACCTGCTCTGTCAATGCCTCTGACCTGTTACCATTTGGCCCTGGGCCTCAGTTTCACAGGGGAGTTTCACTGTTTCACAGTTTCACCGTTTGATCCAGCTGCCCTACCCTACCATCTCTACCCCCATTAGCTTTTCAGGAGCCATGGGGAGGGCATGGCCTCTGAAAATCCTTTTCCCTGCTGTTCTCCATCATAACGCTTCTCCCTGATCCCACTTCCCCTTGGCCAGGGGGCTCACCTGCCGCTGGCTCTGCTGTGTGAGGTCCGCCATTAGAGTCTACCTGGGGCCTGAGCCTCCCTTGCCCCCCTTGTCCCCAGCCATTCTTCCCAAAGGGGGAAATGAAGGCTAGAGAGGAGAGAGCCCTGCAGGATGGGCCCTTCCCCAGGCCCTCAGCCTGTCCCCTGGGCTTTGTGTTCACTCAGCAACAGGTCGACAAGTGGCATCCGTCCATGGGCAGCCGGCTTGAGTATGCTGTCACACAGCTGCAGCTCAGGCAGCAGGGCTGTGGTTAAAGCTCAGGGACTGGCGAGGCCTGCCTGCTCCAGCTTTCTGGCTTAGGACGTGGGGTCAGAGCCTATCCATACCTCTGTCTCCGACTCTGGGGTCCAAGCTTTAGGCTAGGCTATTTCCTGCTGCAGATTGCTGAGCCGATGCCCAGGACTCTCCAGCCGCTCAGCCTCTCAACAGTCTGCAAGACCCTGGGTGATCCAGACCCTCGGCCCCTCCCCGCAAGTCCCTCCTTGCTCCCACCCGAGGCTTGCCTCCTTCCCGAATTCGGGTCTGTCCTCCCCACCCCATTCTCCCATCTGTCCCCTTGCCCCACATCGCTTTCCCTCCTCCCTTGTCATCCCTGGGAGGACTTGGACATGTTTATTCGGTTCTTGCCACTTCCCTGTGGCAGGCGAGTCCTGAGAGGATGGGATTTGCCTCGTGCTATCTCCCCCATGGCTGGGGTGGTGCACACGGCTCATCTGTTGAATGAATGAAGGACTCACGAATTTCCCAGGCTCAGGCCAGATCCCAACTGAACCCTAAATCCAGGCATCCCTCAGCCTCCTGCCCTGTGTGGGACAGAACCCCGACCCACATCCATAGCCTTGATGACGTGTGGGGCTCCCCTCACTGCTCCGCTCAGTGAGATTTTGCTGGTGTTGGCAGTCGCGGGCCTGACTTTGGTCTAGTGATGTAGGAATGGAGAGAGTTGACCCACATTCATGGTTTCCTTCCATAAAAGACTTTCTAGAAACGTTTGGCCCCTGCTCCCGGGGGTTTTCAGCAGGGCCCAGGGTGCAGAGCTAACCGGGAGACGACGATTATGGGGGAGTTCAGAAACAAGTTGACTGACAGCACTGCAGTGGCCTGTTAGGGGCAGGCCGAGTTGCAACACAGCAGCTGCAGGGGCAGCCGGCATTGACACTTCTGTCTTAGTGCTCCCTGTGTAAGCTGCACCCTCCAAAGTCCCTTTCTGATATGTCCCTTCTTAGATGCCCAGCCCATAGGGAAGGGCGGGCCTCACACCTCTTCCTCCAAGCCAGCTGGGCTGGGGCAGTGTCCTCTACCCTGGCACCCTTGACTGTGTCCCAGTCTCCAGCCCAGCCTGTTTGAGCTCCAGGCTTCCTGGACACCAGGTTCCTGTCATCCCCCAGGCACCTCCCTGGCTCCTCCCATCAGCCCCCAGGCCCGTGGCTTCTTCCCCCTCCCGTCTGCGGCCCACCCTGCCCCAAGCTCCTCCCCAGCCTCCTGTCCATCTTCTCCACACTTTGGAATCACAGCTCTCAGCATATCACTTATTTCTTAGGAACCTCCTCCCTATCTCCACCTCTCAGCCCATGGCATCCTGAGGAAAAAAAAAAAAAATCCTTTCTATGGCATTCGAGGCCCTTGACAATTGGTCCCAGAACCTCCCATCCCAGCACCGTGCACCAGCCACCCTGACCTGCTTGCATTTTCTCACACACACCCAGCACTTGGACGCCTCCATGCCTTTGCAGACACAGTCCCTCCTCCCAGGGCACCACCGTCCGTCTAACACCCACCCCCACCCTTGTTTACCTCCTGCTTCAAGGCTCATTGCAAAGGGCTTGTCCTCTGACTCTCCCACCCCCCCCCAGGCAGTAGCAGCTTCCTCCCAAGGGCTCCTAAGGCCAAAGATTGAATCACAGTTGTTTGTTTACATAGTCTACCTTCTCCACCAGGACTGAAGCTCCCCAAGGGCAGACACTGGGTTTGAATCATCTCCAAGTCCCAGGTATGGCCCAGAAGAGACTTTCTGGGAACACTGGTTGAATGAATGAATAAGTGACTGCATGGTGGGGAGGAGGGCGGAAAGGCACAGGAGGAGAGGAGGAGTGGGAGGAGGCATCCCAGAAAGAGCACTGTTTGATCCAGCTGCCCCATCCTACCACCTCTACCTCCATTCGTTTTTCAGGACCAGAAAGGACATAACTTGCCTGGGGGACACAGTCAGATCCAAGACAGAGCCAGGGACCCCATGGCAGAACTCTGAGGCCACTGGGGTCCAGGATTCAGAGGACAGGTGATGGGCTACTGCTGATGGGCTTTGAGCCTAGGCAGGCGGATTGGCACTCAGAGGACCCAGCCCTCCTGGGAGGGATAGGTGAGGTGTCGCAGCCATATAATGGTTCAGAAAGCCGGAGTTAGGAGATTCTTCGTGAGCTTCTTCAGGCCATTCCAGGCTCTCGGCATGGGAAACCGCCCTGAGTACCACTGGTTTGACTAAGTGTTTGTGCTGAGCAGCAAGAAAGAACAACTTCTCCTTTGTGAGAACAGTGGCAGTGGTGTCACCATTGAAACACAGTCCCCCAGGACTCCAGAGTAAGCAGCCCCGGGGAAGCGGAGTGGGGGGCAGTGAGAGGTGGGGAGCTGGCAGGGGTCTATGGGTTTGCCAGGGTGCTGGCTTCTGCAGGCCTAGGAGTTCCCCACTGGGCCCCACTTTTGCATCAGCCCTCCGTCTAGCCAGGGCCCACACCGGAAGCCGGGGGTTGCCTCTCCTCGTCCCTTTGTCTTCCCTCCCCATGGCCAATGCCCAGTCCTGTTTGATTACTGCACTACCTCCTCGCTGTGCCTCCTAATCCACTCCCACTGCAAGCAAGCAAAGGGAACTTCTAAACCCACCAATCTGCCTACGCTCCTCCCTGCTCACATCCGCTCCGTGCCTCTCCAGCCACTGCAGGGGGATCACAGGCTCTAATCAAGGCCCTCCCACACCCCTTTCTATGGCCACCTCGCTCAGCCACCCTCTCCTTGACTAATTTCACCCAGACTTCTGGCACCTCAGGCTCTCCTGGACACCTCTGGGTCTCTGTGTTTGCTGTTCCTTCTCCCCGGAACACCCTTCCCACCTTCTGCCCTTCCCTGGGTTTATCCCAGGGAACTTACACTCATTCTTCTCAATTCATTACGGACGTCTGAGCCCTTCAGGCTTTCGGGCTATATCCTCCACGGCACCAATAACTCTATGCCCTGTGACTGTCCTGCCTCCCACCCAGACTATGACTATGGGGCCTCAGGGAAAAGTCTGGGTCTCAACAGTGCTTAGCACAAGCAAACATACAGTAGCTTCTGCCAGTGCCTGTTGACTGAGTGAATGATTTTCTCCCAAGGAGGTCACTGGACAGAGTCCCTTAAGGGGTAATCAAGGTGCTCTCTACTCCCTAACCAGGCCCTGCCCATTCCCAGGAGCCAGACACTGCCATTGCAGGAGGGAGGAGAAAGGCTCTCAGACCTGAGTTCAAATCCAGTTATCAGCCATGTAGCTCCCAACACTTTGGGAGGCCAAGGCAGGAGGATTGTTTGAGGCTGGGAGTTCAAGACCAACCTGACCAATATAGGGAGACCCCATTTCAATTAAAAAACAAAGCCTGGGCCGGGCGCGGTGGCTCACGCCTGTAATCCCAGCACTCTGGGAGGCCGAGACGGGCGGATCACGAGTTCAGGAGATCGAGACCATCCTGGCTAACACAGTGAAACCCCGTCTCTACTAAAAATACATTAAAAAAATTAGCCGGGCGCGGTGGCGGGCACCTGTAGTCCCAGCTACATGGGAGACTGAGGCAGGAGAATGGTGTGAACCCGGGAAGCGGAGCTTGCAGTGAGTGGAGATTGCGCCACTGTACTCCAGCCTGTGCAACAGAGCAAGACTCCATCTCAAAAAAAAAAAAAAAAAAAAAAAAACAACAAAGCCTGGTGAAAGCATGTCTTTCCCCAAAAAATTAAAATTAGCGGGGTGGTTCGTGCCTGTAGTCTCAGCTACTCAGGAGGCTGAGGTGGGAGGATTGCTTGAGTATGAGAGGTCCAGGCTGCAGTGAACCGTGATTGCACCACTGCACTCCAGCCTGGAGGTGACAGAGCAAGACCCTGTCTCAATCAAACAAACAACAACAACAACAAAATAAACTCAGCTCCCCCAATCCCTTGCTGTGTGATCTTGAGTGATTAAGATCTCTGAGACTGGCCAGGCACGGTGGCTCATGTCTGTAATCCTAGCACTTTGGGAGGCTGAGGTGGATGAATCACTTGAGGCCAGGAGTTTGAGACCAGCCTGGGCAAGATGGCGAAACCCTGCCTGTACCAAAAATACAAATATTAGCCAGGTGCAGTGGTGCGTACCTGTAGTCCCAGCTACTTGGGAGGCTATGGCACGAGAATTGCTGAACCTGGGAGATGGAGGTTGCAGTGAGCCGAGATCAGGCCACTGTACTCCAGCCTGGGAGACAGAGCAAGACCCTATCTCAAAAAAAAAAAAAAAAAAAAAAAAAATTCCGTGAGGCTGTCTCCTCCTCTGTAAAAACTCTTCTGAGAACATCTATAGGTCAAAAACCGACCCTCAATCTAAACTTCACACCTTATACAAAAATTAACTCAAAATAGATCACAGATTTAAATGTAAAATGTTAAAAAAAACCATCAAACTTTTGGGGAAAATAATAGGAGAAAATCTTTAGGACCCAAGTCTAGGCTGTAAAAGTTGATCATACATATTGGGTCATTCTTGTCTACAAAACTAAAACAGAAGTAAGAGGCCAGTGGGGGAAAGCATCGAGGGTACATAATATTATTGCAAAAATGCAATTCCCTGTGAGCCTGGCTGGTGAAAGCAACGTCCAGTTACAACCTGAAACCAGTTTTATCTATAGCTGCTGAGATAACTTGCTACAAATCTAGGACTAATTTTGCTTACCACTGTCACTCACCAATCAGAACTCTCCAGGTCTCCAAACCCTTACTAGTGCCAAGGAACTTTCTCAAAGAGCACTAAGTAACATTTCTGCTTTTTAGAAAACCTCTAACCTTCTTGGTGTTCTCCAGACACATCGAAGACCACCCAGTCTTTGGGCATGCCCTGAATTGCAATTTTTCTTCCCAAATAAAACCATTAAATGTAGAGATTCGTCTCTACATTTTCATTTTGTCTTCAACAAAGTGAATAGTTCTTAGACTTGACGCCAAAAGCATGATGCATAAAAGGAAAAATTGATAAACTGGACTTCATCAACATTTAAAACTTTAGCTCTCTGTAAGACACCTGCAAAGAGGATGAAAAGGCAAGCTACTAACTGGGAGAAAATATTCGCAGAGCACACACCCAACAAAGGTCCTGTATCTAGAATATATAAAGAACTTTTGAAACTCAACAGTATAAGCCTGGGCAACATAGCGAGACCATGATTCTACTGAAAATAAAAAACAATTAGCCAGGCATGGTGGTGCACACCTGTAGTCCCAGCTATTCGGGAGGCTGAAGTGGGAGGACGGCTTGAGCCCAGGAGTTTGAGGTTGCACTGAGCTATCATCATGCCACTGCACTCCAGCCTGGATAACAGAGCAAGAGCCTATCTCTAATAAAACAAAAAAGTAAAAAAGTTAAAACTCAAGAGTTAAAAAATAGACAATCCAATTAGAAAATGAGCAAAAGTGGCCGGGCGCAGTGGCTCACGCCTGTAATCCCAGCACTTTGGGAGGCCAAGGTGGGTGGATCACGAGGTCAGGAGATCGAGACCATCCTGGCGAACACGGTGAAACCCTATCTCTACTAAAAATACAAAAAAATTAGCCAGGCGTGGTGGCAGGCACCTGTAGTCCCAGCTACTCGGGAGGCTGAGCCAGGAGAATGGCGTGAACCCGGGAGGCGGAGCTTGCAGTGAGCCGAGATTGCGCCACCGCACTCCAGCCTGGGCGACAGAGCGAGACTTCGTCTCAAAAAAAAAAAAAAAAGAAAATGGGCAACAGACATGAACAAATGTTTCAAAGGAGAAGACAAACAGATGGCATATAAGCCCATGAAAAGAGATTCAATGACATTAGCCATCAGGAAAGCACAAGTTTAAACCACAATAAGATATGACCTACCTATCAGAATGGCCAAAAAAAAAAAAAAAAAAAAAAAAAAAAGGTAACACCACATGTTGGCAAGGATGTGGAGAAACTGGATCACGCACATACTGTTGGTGAGAATGTGAAATGGTGCAGCCACTCTGGAAAAAGTTTGGCAGTGTTTGAACACATGACTACCAGGACCCAGGAATAACACTCTTGGGCATTTATGCCAGATAAATGAAACCTGATGCTTATATACATATGTATATGAATACTCATAGCAAGGTTATTTGTAATAATCAAAAGCTGGAAACTCCACATATCCTTTAATCACTGAAATGGTTAAGCAAACTGTGGTATATCCGTACCGTGGAATACTAGTCAGCAATGAAAAGCACAGACCATTGATCCATGAAACAACTTGGATGACTTGCTGGAGAACTATGCTAAGTGGGAAAAAAGGCCAATCCCAAAAGTTTATATACTACATCTTCCATTTATATAGCATTCTTGAAATAGCAAAATTGTTGAATTGTAGAATAGATTAGTGGTTGCCAGAAGTTAGGAATGGTGGTGGGGGGGAGGTGTGGGGATGGCTACAGAGAGGGAGATCTTTGTAGTGATAGAACAGTTCTGTATCTTGACTGTAATGGTGGTTACACAAATCTCTACACATAGTAACGTTGTAGACACACACACACAAATAAGTGCATGTAAAACTGGTGAAATCTGGCCAGTGCAGTGGCTCACGCCTGTAATCCCAGAACTTTGGGAGGTCAAGGTAGGAGACCCACTTGAGGCCAGGAGTTTGAGACCAGTCTGAGCAACATAGAGAGGCCCTGTCTCTACAAAAAAAAAAAAAAAAAAAAGAAAAAGAAAGAAAAAAAATTAACTGGGCATGGTGCCTGTGGTCCCAGCTACTCAGGACCCTGAGGCAGGAGGACCGCTTGAACCCAGGAGTTCAAGGCTGCATTGAGCAATGATTGTACGTACCACTGTACTCCAGCCTAAGTGACAGAGCAAGACCGTGTCCCAAAACAAACAAAAAACTGGTGAAATCTAAATAAACTCTGTGGATTGCACCAGTGTCAATTTTCTGGCTGTGATATTATTGTATTATAGTTATGCAAAACATCACTACTGGGGAAAACTGGGTGCATACAACCTTCCTGTTCATCAACTGCAGAAGTGTGGGGGTGGTGGATGGGAGGGTGAGGCCTTGGACTCCCTTCCTGAACTCCCCAGCCTCTGTGCATTGGTAAGAACACAGGGAGAAGCTGAGGTGGCTCAGAGAGGGTCTTGCAGGGGATCCACAGTGGTAGAGGGGCTATAAATGGGTCTTCGGGACCCTCAAAGCAGGGCTCCCCCGCTGGGACCACCTCCCCTCTCTGGCCCTGGGGCAGGGGAGGGATGCAAATATGTGTGCCTGTCCCCCCAGGGCCACTATGTTTAGTAGCATAAAGCCCTTGGGGGGCTGTATGGCAGAGTGTAGGACTTCAGGCTTGAGGGGTCAGTGATGGGGACCACAAGGATGCTGGGCCTAGGAGGCCAGTCCTTGTCCAGGGCAGTGGACTCAGAGGCAAGGAGTCCTAATGGGCCATGAATGATGGAGAAGGCCTTGGAGGAGGAGGGTTTGAGGGCGCAAGGCCTAGAGATGTCACCAGCCTACCGAAGCAGCATCCTTAAGGGCCCCAAACCAGCCCCATCCAGATCCAGAGCAAGTATGGGGGATGGGAGGAAGGGCTGGGCCTGGTGCCTGGCAGACTGGCTGTGGCACGCGATGGGGTGGGGGCTGTTTGTTGGGCCAGGTTTAATGGGCTTTGCTGTCCCACTCTCAAAGCCTGCCTTCAGATGTGGTCTCCACGCTCCCCATAACCAGGGTCCCAACCCCAGGGGACGCTCAGCAGAGAGCTGGGCCTGACCCCAGCCCACAGCTGCCCTCTTGGCCCCTCCCTGCCCTAGGGTTCAGGTCGGGTGCTGCCCGCCACGCAAAAGCAGTCCGGGGACCCCTCCCAGAGGGGATCAGGGTTCAGGACTGAGAACTAGGTACCTGCTCAGGAAAGCCCAGAGGTTGGTTCAGTCAGGGCTCTATCCCTGCCTGGGGGCTCCCAGTCCAGTACCCTAGACCTATTTCCACAACTGGAAGCTGGAAATCTACACAGCCGCACGGACTTCCCGCCAAACCGGCGAAACTGGGCACAGCCAGGGTTGATCCAGGATCACCAACAGACCCTGGGGGCACAGGGGGTGCCAAGGCTGTTGACCCGCTGTGTGACCTCAGGAAGAACACTGTCCCTCTCTGGGCTGGGTGTTCCAGGAGCTCTTGGGCTTAGACCTCTGAGCTTTTCGGAATTCGGGCACCAGGGAACAGTGGGCAGTGCACCCGCCCCAGGTCTGTCTGCCTGTGGAGGGGTGAATCAGCTTCCGGCCCCGCCCCGGGCGGCACGTGACCGCAGGTGGCGACAGTGGGGTGGGCGGGGCGGCCCTGAGTCACCGGTGCTCCCCCGCCCGGCCTCGCGCCGCCGCCGCCGCCGCCGCCGCCGCCGCCGCCGCGTGTGCGCCGCGCTCCGCCTGTGCCCTCTCGGTAAGCAAGTCACAGCCGCGTCCCCGGGATCCCGGGTCTCGCGGGGCGCCGCCGCCCCACAACCGCACTTCTGGGTCTCCTGGACCCCTCCGAAAGCCCCGGCCTCTTCAGGGCAGGCCTCCTGGGTTGCCGGCACCTGGGAATTTTAAGACCCCTCCCTTACCCGGAAGCCCTCGGTTTGCGGGGCGCCGCTGTGCCGGGGCCGCCTCTCACTCTAAGAAGCTACTGGGAAGTTCCCCGGCTGCCCTAGTTTCCCTCAGAAGTTGCCAGGACTTCAGGCAGCTCCGGAAATCTGGGATGTGGGTTCCCTGTCCCCTGCACATAGAGGCACGCTGAGCCCTGGGACGTGGCCCACGGCTCCCTCCCTGCTGTTACGATCCCTTACTTTCTCCCCATCCTAGTCCAGTGCCCCCACCTCATCTTCCCAGTCCCAGCCCCAGCCCCGTCCTTCCCACGCCCACCTGAGTTCCCGGCCCCGCCCCCCGCCGCCCCTTCCCGCGCGGCCCGCCCTCCGCGCCGAGCCGGGCTCATCAGGTCTTTCCCGCAGGTTGCTCATGGGCAGAGGAGCAGAGGCCGCGGAGAGGCCCCCGAGCGCGCGGTGCCCCAGCCGGGCCGGAGCTAGGAGCCGGACCTTGCCCACCCACCCGCGGCAGCAGTGCCCGGGCAGGCGGCACCATGGCCTTCTCCCAGGTGCAGTGTCTGGACGACAACCATGTGAACTGGCGCTCCAGCGAGTCCAAGCCCGAGTTCTTCTACAGCGAGGAGCAGCGGCTGGCGCTGGAGGCCCTGGTGGCCCGCGGCCGGGACGCCTTCTACGAGGTGCTCAAGCGGGAGAACATCCGAGACTTCCTCTCGGAGCTGGAGCTCAAGCGCATCCTGGAGACCATCGAGGTGTACGACCCGGGCTCTGAGGACCCTCGGGGCACGGACCCCTCCCAGGGGCCCGAGGACCACCGGGTCGGCGACGGAGAGGAAGCCAGCGGGGCGGATGGGGTCCCCACCGAGGCTGAGCCGCTGCCCTCCCTGGAGTACTGGCCCCAGAAGTCGGACCGCTCCATTCCGCAGCTGGACCTGGGCTGGCCCGACACCATCGCCTATCGCGGCGTGACCCGGGCCAGCGTCTACATGCAGCCCCCCATAGACGGGCAGGCCCACATCAAAGAGGTGGTGCGGAAGATGATCAGCCAGGCACAGAAGGTGAGGCAGCGTGGGGACTCCGGGAGCCAAGGCCCAACCAGCGACCGGACCCCTCAATACAAGCTCACTCAGAGCCCCAAACGGGAGCCCAACATGGGCTTCTAGGGATCTCTGCTGTTTCCCTGGCTGCCTCCTAAGTGGAGGTTTCCTCCCCACCTTTGTGGGGATCCGCAGTTTCTTTGCAGGATAGGGTTCCCAGGTCCTAGCAGGTGACAGTGGGCTGCCCTGTCTCAAAGGGCCTCTGTATTGTTGCGGGGTGTTTCTGGTTCCCCAGAAGAAGGGACCAAGATAGGGTGGAGTGGGGAGGGGAGGAACCCCAGGGCTTCCTCTCACTTTCCCTTAGAGTGTCTCTGATTCACTGTGAAGGCACCCACACACCGTGAGCTCTCTGGTGGGGAGAGCTTTTGTTGCGGGGTGAGGGGATAGGCATGGTCCGAGTCCATCTGAGACTGGCCTGGAGGTCCTGGTTCAACACTGCCTGTTTCCTAGCTGTGCTGAGCAACTGGGAGCAGATTGCGCACCCTCTCTGAGTCTCTTTGTGAGCTTTGCAATGGTGGAAACTTTCCAGGCCAGGACGCACGGGTGAGGACAAAGCCTTCTTTGGCCCTCCCATTCTCCACCCCTTTTGGGCTATGCAGTGCCCTAGCTGTGGGGGGCCATTCTTGGCTGACACACCATCACACATTCTCAGAAGGGGTGCTTGCCACTTGCAGAGACAGCTAGGCCACTGCTGGACAGCTGTGACCATGAGCAGGTGCTAATGCCTGCTGCACGTAAGTACCTTCTCATCGTTGCCAAGCACATCTTGACTTGATAGATAAAGCTTACCTAGTGAGCTGTGTTGAGAAGGGGATTCTGAAGTCAGGTCTGGGCCTCAGGTTGTGGGATGAGGTCTTCCTTGCTGGGTCTGATCCCTTTATACTTCCAATCCCAGAGCAGAGTAGCCAATTGCACAAGACCAGAATGCTGGCATCAGAGACCATCCTGGCTAACTGACAGGGCCTTGGGGAAGTTTGTGGGCAGAGAAACCAGAAGTGGGTCAAGAACTGATGAGGTGACCCTGGTGGCTCCTGGCCCTGGCTCCAGTTTCCAGGAAGGTGGAGTCCCTGCCCAACAAGGGGACCAGCTGGGTCAGCTAGCTGGGTCGGGGTGCCTGGTCCCCAGCCTGACTGCTCTCAATTCACTGACTGACCCTGGGCAGCTTTGAGGCTTCGGGTTTTTGGTCTATAAGATGGAGGTGGTGCAGATAAAAGCTGCATCTTTGGCTATTGTGAAGATGGAATATCGGGTGACAAAAGTAAGGAAGGAGTTAGAGGAAGAGGAGGAGGAGGGGGAGGAGGAAGGGACCTTCATAGTTTACAGGCTGAGAGACCCGCCCCACACCTGCCATGGTGTGTGGGAAGTGCTGCTGACGTCTGTGACTGGTGGAGATGACTGGCTGGAGGCTAGAGAACCCAGTCCCCACAGAGAGCCTGCTGGGATCCCATTACCCAGCCTCCACTTCCATCTTGAAAACAGGGAAACTGAGGCCCTGGGTAGGGGGACTTGCTGTGCCAAGGTTCCCACTCCTCTGTGCCTCCCCTCCTCGTCAGAGGCAGGAAGGAGGCAGATGGGAACAGCCAGAGGGTCTGCTCTCTCACAGACAGACAGATCCCCCACCCAGCGATGGGCCAGATAGGGGCTCCCAGGGCCAGGGCTTCCCCTGCTGGCTCCAGGTTCCTCCCTGAGTCTCTGGCTACAGCTGTGACCCAGCCACTCCATACAGTCTCATGGGCCACCTGGAGCTTCCTTTGCTTCCCATAAAAGCCCCACAAGGTTATTAGTGTCACCTAAGGTGACGTTGCCTTCCTTTGCTTCCCACAAGGTTATTGCTGTCACCTGTCTAAGGTGACATAGCCAGGAAGAAGCTGGTCTCCAGTTTGGGCGCCAGTCTGTCTACACGGCCCCACAGTGAGTGATGTCCTCGAGCTTCGGACAGATGGGCCCTCCTCTCTGCTTTTCCAGCCCTCAGGATGCGGCACTCACTGCTGAGACTGCTCCCCACTCTCAGACCTCAGGGAGTCCTCAAGCGTCCCACAGTGGGGGCCTCAGAGGCAGTAGAGACTAAGCCCCTCATCTGACAGACAAGGACACTGAGGCACAGAGAAGGACAGGGATTTGTTCATGACTCCACAGCATTGTGGTGAGCCAAGCCCCTGCTTTCTGCCCTGGGCATGTCCTTCCCTGCCACATCTCTCCTAGGACCCGTGGCCAGCATGGCATATGTGGGCGGGGATAATAACAATAGCAAGTGCTGACTGAGTGCGAGGCGCTTTATAATCTCAGCTAGTGTTATCTGTCCCATTTTTCAGATGTAGAAACTTGTTAGTCCCTGCCCAAGGTCACCTAGCTAGTTCTCGGGTGGAGGGGTGGGGACCAGGCCTGTGTTTCCCTCAAACTCTAGGCTACCCCTCATGCCCTGGCCCTGGCAGGACAGAGTGACAGGCCGGGGCTGGGAGGGGCAGCTCATCCAGGCCACTGCAGTCCTCCAGCTATCCTGCCCCGGCTGCTTCCCAGGCTCACAGGGGCAGGGCCGGGACGCTGACGGACGCTGACGGATGCTGACGGTGCTCTTTGTCTGCCCGCCTGCCGCCTGCCGGGAGCGCTCCCTGCCTTATCTCTCCCCATGAATCACCTTTCGTGCCCCTACTCCCGCCTCCCCTTCTCACTCTGGTATCGTGTGGGGAGAACTCTGCCTGCCCCCTGCCTGGGTTGGGGATCCCTCTGCCTGGGCCGCCTCACCGCACACTGGCCTCTTCCCACCGGGGGCTTCAGGCTGGGGCTGCTGGGGCTGAGTCAGGACAGCCCAGCCCGCCGCCTCCTCACTCACCTTACCTGTTGTCAGCACAACAGGCAGACCCTGGGGCAGGGAAGTGACACAGCACTCAGGGGAGCGGCTGTGTTCCCGTCAGGACTGCTGTCAGTCCCCCCTTCCTGCCCCACCGTTCCCAAATGATTAGAATGGAACTAGTGGACAGCACGACTAGGAGCCAAAAGTCCGTGCTCTGCCTCCGCCTGACTGTGTGACCTGGAACAAGCCCCAGCTCCTCTCCAAGCCCCAGCCATCCCGTCTGTAAAATGGGTACAGGTCTTGAAGACTGTTAGGGGCCCCTTCAGCCCTGATACCTTGCTGCCCTGCGTTCCTAGACTCCCCTGGGACAAGAGGCGGGTGGGTCCCGGGTCTCACTCCCAGCATCTTGTGCCCTCCGAGCCTAACCTCCAGCCCTAGTGGGCTCCAATTCCAAGATGGAAGGTCACTGCCTGCCCCTCCCCCAGCCCCAGGAGCCATGATTTATCTGGGGAAAAACCTGCTGTGGGGTTCCAACTGCATACCAGAGGACGGGCCTGTAGGATCACGCCTGGGAGGGGCGAGCCCCGGCCTCGCTCGGCTGCAGCCTGAGAAGGGGTGAGGCTGGGCTGGGTTGGGGCTCCGTCAGCGAGAGCTGGATGTAGATGTTCCAGCTGGTTCCTCCAGCAGGTGCTGAGCCCCCCTCAACAGGACACGGCATGGGGGCCCTAGCAGGATCCCTCACCAGCCCCAGGGTGAGGCCCCAGGAGCAGGGACGGATCACACCTTCCTTATTTCACAGCTGAGGAAACTGAGGGAGGGTGAGGCGCCAGTGGCCAGGGCCAGAACGCTGATCTCTGCATGTTCACAGCTGAGGAAACTGAGGGAGGGTGAGGCGCCAGTGGCCAGGGCCAGAACGCTGATCTCTGCATGCCAGGCCAGGGCTTGGGAACAGACCCAGAGAAATAAAGTCGAACCCAGGTTTCACGATGCCTGATTCACCCCACATTTTTTCTGTCAGGCCCCTGCCTTCACACGCTGAAGTCCTGGCCCACAGCTTGGCTCTGGGAGAATAGAAGCAGCTTAATGAGGCGCTTACTAAATGCCAACCCCATGCCAGGTGCTGAGCGGGCACTTTACCGTGCTGTGTAATCCTCCCCACAACTCTGGAAAGTAGGTGTTGTCTCCATTGTGCTGCAGATGAGGAAACTGAGGCTTGGTGGGGCCCGGAGGTGGCAAATAACTTGCCCGAGGTCACAGAACTGATATCTGGAGGGACTGGGCCCACCCCCAGTCTGCAGGCCCTGAGCACCCCCCATTCCCTGGAGAAGCAGTGTCACTGTTCCTTCTGAGCCCTACCCCTGCATGGGAGCACCAGAGCCTCGCTGCTGGATCCTGTTGTTTACTGATTCAGGACAGTAAAAGCGTTTTTTTTTTTTTTCCTTTTTGAGACAGAGTCTTGCTCTGTCGCCCAGGCTGGAGTGCAGTGGTGCAATCTCTGCTCACTGCAACCTCCGCATCCTGAGTTCAAGCGATTCTCCTGCCTCAGCCTCCTGAGTAGCTGGGATTGTAGGCGTGCGCCACCATGCCCAGCTAATTTTTGCATTTTTAATAGAGACGGGGTTTCACCATATTGGTCAGGCGGGTCTCGAA